ATGTTGCTCTTTGCATTTGGCCACCCTTAGTAGTCTCACTCTCATTCCGGCCCGCAATCACTTGTCTCTGCTTTTTTCCATGGGCATCATCAGGCAAGCTTGAGGCGAGTCAACATCAACCCAACACTCACAATGGTACATCAACTCACTGTCATCTTGCGCGCATGCATGCAGGCTCTGCTTCTCAGGCCTGATGGAAGTCAAAGCATGATCACCCTTGAAAAATGTTCTGCTTCTTGTCAATTCCCATAAACTCATCCCTCATCTACATTGTCTGCGCTCTGTAGTATAGATCTCTTGTGCACCTTCTTGGCTCACTGGCCACTGCAGCGCTCATTGACAACTTCTTAAGAACTGATGAGAGGATTGTAGTCTACATGGATTTGACACTCTGCTGCTGGAGCAAGACCCCGCCATAAAGTCACATCTTGGAAGTCTGCGACCTTGATCCTCCCCACATATGATTGGCACACGTAAATGAGCCATATTGAAGCTTGTCACTACTACTAGAGCTCTGCGCATTTACAAAACGTCTTCCCCACATTTGCCCAAATTGCAACACAAAGCTTTAAGATACCAATGGCGGGCACTGCACCTGTACCTTGCGATGTACCCAAACCCACCAACAACGCAGTAAACCTTCCCATTTGCATTTGTATCTACTTTGCAGAAGCCAAAAAGCAAGCTCAGGGCAACGCCACTGCTCTTCAACAAATTGCCTACATGAAGGGCAAGTGTTGCAAGCTATATGCATACAAGAAGAGCGCAAAGCTTGCTCATCAAAAGGAGCTGCGCAACATCTACAATGAAGCTGTGAGTTCCAGTCCCAGTCCTTCAGAATTGTGAATATCTAGGGTTTGGCTCCGGCCCTCCAGGTGAGCCATCACGCAAAGCTTGCTGCGCTCATCCACAGTTGTACATGCTCACTTTTAACAGTCATCTTGCGCCCAGGCATGCAGTCTCTGCTTGCCAGGCCTGACTTGGAAGCCACAGCACTGCTGGTCTCTGGACCATGAAGGGCGAGTATTGCAAGCTATACCTGTACTAAAGGAAGCAAAGTTTGCCCATCAAAAGGCGCTCTGCAAGGTGTACTGTAGACCTGTGAGTCCCAGTCCCTCAGAATTGTGTATGTTCTCACATCTAGCGGCATAGAGCTAGCAATTTTCTGACCTAAGCCTTCTATTGTCTCATAATTGCAGATTGAAGAGGTCAAGCAAGGAGCCTGCTGTGAGTGCTAGGTCATGGTGTGGCGCACACTGTATTACCCAGTGCTCCAAGATCTTGCGCTTCCAACTCAGTGGCAGCTCTGCAAAACTGAGCACAGGAGCGCCCCTTTCTGCCTTGAGGTTGCAGTGACATTGTCCCTGCTTCTTGTTCCGGGTCAGGACACTGCCCATCCACCAGATTCAAGTCCTTGGTGGAAGGATGTGTCTGTGCCTTGCAAGCATCGAGCACAAGTGCCAGCTCAGGACAACGTCCTGACTGCTGCAACACCTCCCTCAGGGACTTGAATGGCGGGATCTTTCCCTTCTTGCCCCTCTGCTTTGTATTTGCACAAATACTTTGATCCAGTGCAAGCTCGTCATCAGTTGCTGGCGTGACAAGTGTGTCCACTACACGCAGGGATTGCTGTGGAATACTGAATGTCTTTGCACGCCAGGCTTCAGATTGTGGGGCCAATGGTGCCCCATTCCCATCCACTCCTAGGCAGAACCGTGCCGTCTTCCCATCATGCTTGTAAAGCGGTCTTTGTGTGTCCACCAGGATTACCCTTACCCGTGCCATGCACTCCTGAGCGACTGCCAGCCCACGCTCAAAGAGGTTGCTCATTGGATGCATCTGTAGCTTGGCCCCTCCTACCACCGCCTGCACTTGGTCCTTCCACTGAATGCATGTATGTGTGTTGACAATCATCGACGTGCTCTGTCCTTGACTCGTCTGTCCAGATGCTGACGCTGACATCGGCATCAAACGGGAGCCTGCGCCAGCTGGCAAAGCTGAAGAAGTTGTTCCGAGAAGAGGAAATGGACTTGCAGGGCGCGGTAAAACCCTCGCAAGATCCAAGGAAGAGCCGTTGGTGTCATTAATACGAGGCTGCGTCAAGAACATGCATGGGTTATGAACCAGAGTTATTGAACGCCTTGGAAGGGCCGAGGTGTGGTGGTGGTGGAGAGGAGGCGTTGGCAGCCAAGGCGTTGGAGGAGCTGTTGTTGGAAACATCTGAGCGCACCGAAGTAATAAGCAGGCCTCTGAGGTCAGCGCCCTGCTCTTCAACAAGCTTGAGCACAGTCAAAAGCTTGCGGGTAGAGCTATTCTTGAAGTGCGTGTTGTCTCGACGATTGTCAACCAGATACTTGCTGATCTTCTTGACGTTGGTGCCAACAGTTTTAAGCTGCTGAGCAACAACGTCGATCTGCGACAGGAGAGTGGGAAGGCAGAGGGTGCAGATGCTCACGGGGAGGCCAAGAGTAGCTTGGAGGTAGAGAAGAGGTATGAGTATGCACGTGACCTACTTGGAGACCACAAAGCTTGTCATCAGTTGCCCAAGTCACAAGCATGTCCACTACACGCAGGGATTGCTGCTATTCTTCATCGTTCCACTGTTCTCTTGAGAGTTTTTGCGGCAAACAATCATGACTGCACAGCATCAAAACAGTGCAGCTTGATACTTTGCTTCCTGTTTCTCTTCCTCAGGCCCTTGTCATCAAAGGCTGTCAAAGGGAATTGTAGCTTCCTAAGCTCCCAAAAGAGCAT